GCAGATCTGTGCATTCTCTGCCTCACCTACCTCCACTCGCTGCAGCTCAAGCACACCAGTTCACTAATAACTCTGCTGTGAAGCTATTCAAGGCTACACAATGTTGGAAAACCAAAAAAGGAAAGAGGACTAGTTTCTGATCCATAATCAAACAAACAAACTAACTAACCGTTCAGATCTTGATAACTGAGACTGTGAGGTGTGTTGTTGCAGCAGCAGTGGGCTGGGAGTGTCCTCTTGTGGACAGATCAGTGAACATCTTGTCTGGACAGTTTGAGGTTTACATAGAAGGTCACAGGTTCCCACTGCTGTGAGGCTGTATGTGTCCGGCTGAAGGATGAGTGTCAACACTGGACAGTTTTCTTTTTGGAGGCTTAGAAAAGCTTCTTTATTAAGCTTCTATTATTTAAGCTGTTTTATTTCTTATAAACTGGCCTCCCCAGCATTTGTGGAAAATGTGCTGCTGCTAGAATACTGACAAACACCAAGAAGAGAGAGCACATTGTTCTGATTCTTAGATCCAGTCAGACATATGAGGTGTCAGAAAAGTTCCAGGACTGGTGTCACAGAAGATAAATTTCAAACCCAAACTACAAACTAGCAGTTTTCCCCTCCAGACCATCAACCAGCACAAAGAGATCCTGCAGCGTTTGCTTCGTTCAGAAGAGGCAGAGTTGTGTCAGGACCAGTGGAGGCTGCGTCACCATGACAACCTGCTCACAACGCCCTGAGCATCAGCTCCTGGCTGAGAAGAACATCTCCGTGCTGGAGCAACCTCCCTACTCATCCCACCTGGCTCTGTGGGGTTGTTTCCTCTTCCCCAAGCTCAAGGGGGTCATCAAGGAGACCCGTTTAGAAGACGTGGACGATGTCAAGATGGCTGAGACGATGGAGCTGAGAGGATCCTAGAAGAATGCTTCCAGGAGTGCATGACGGCGTGAAGAGAAGGCTGGAGAAGTGTGTTAGACTCCAGGAGGATTACCGCGAAGGGGAACCTGGTAGTTTGGATTTGAAATATATCTTTTGGAACAGAAGTCCTGAAACTTTTCTGACACACCTTGTAGAATTGAACTTACGTCTGTACTTGTCTGTAAATCTCCTTTTAGACTGACCCTGACCAGGTGAGGCAGGCGGCTGCCCTCCCTGAACCTGGTTCTGATAAAGCTGAGCTCCTCCTTTGCTCACCAACGTGCTTGCTCACAGGGATTTGTTGAGTGTTGGACGTATAACTTTGTAGGGTTCCTAACATTAATATTTGTCCAGGTGTTTTCACATAATAAATAACACTGTCAGGTCATTAACCTTCATATTTAAACTTGTTGGGTCACCTCATAGCATCAGTCCTGTGTTTCTACTGGAGAGCACTTTGTCTATGCAGCCGGGCTTCGGCGTGCCTCCGTGTTTATCCCTGCCTGCTGCCTAATGCCTGCTGCCTAATGCCCGGTACTGCAGGAGGTGGGCCTGCTGGGCCCGCTGGGCGCCCTGCATCACCTTTTCAGGCTTTGCCCAGCGATGCTCCACTAGACTGGGCCTCCGGATGCTCACCGGTGAGATCCCCTCCTGAGCCTGGCTCCAGGAAGAGGCCCTGGTGACCCCGTCTGAGAGAGATGGTGCCTGCTCCTGTTTGTCACTGAGCTACAATGAATTGGTTTTATTCTGGACCCTCCCCGAGGACCAATCAGTGGATGGATTATAGAACTCATCTGGCCTGGGAACACCTGGAGGTTCTGCAGGAGGAACTGGAAAGTATGGATGGATGGATGGATGGATGGATGGATGGAAGGCACACGTACATCCATCCATCCATCATCTATACACCGCTTAACCCTCACCAGGGTCATGGGGGGCTGGAGTCTATCCCAGCTGACTCAGGGTGAAGGCAGGTTCACCTGGACAGGTAACCAGTCTATCACAGGGCTACACTTAGAGACAGACAACCAAGCACACTCACATTCACACCTACGGACAATTTACAATCGGCACACGTACAGATTTATTCAATATTTTATCCTAACAAGCTTTTACTTTCTACTTGTTTTCAATACACTCATTTACTTAAATTTATTTAATTGTTTTACACCATTATTTTTACATAATTAATTATGTTGTTAGCTCTTAACCTTATTATCTAAATTAGCTCAGCTAAATCAGTCAGGAACGTTCTTAACCTTAATTTCTAAACTGGTGAGATAAATTTGTCATCTCATTTCTGCTGAAGAACACATTTGCTGAGCGGCTGCTGTTTTAAATGAGCATCAGTGTGAATAACAGTGATTTCACTCGACCACATTGATACGCTGCAGCAGTAGTCTCCTAAAACCTGAGCTCTTGTTTTAAATGCATTTTTTATTTCTCTTTAAAAGAAAAAAAAATAAAATAAAATAAAAATATATAAAATATTTTTAAAAAATAAATAATATAGAAAAATTGAATAAAATAATAATAATAAAATAATACAACTTTTTTTAAATTAAAAAGTAAATACTGTGGTATTATAATCCAAAATGTGACAGCCACTCATGTGGACGCAGGTTTTAACAGATTAAACTTGTCTTTCATTGTAAAATTTGTACTTTCATTCGTCTTATACATGAATTCAACTGAACACTTTTCTTTTTCTTTCTAAAATATTTTAATGCACTAAGAAAAGCACTTTGATTTGTCTTTATTGAATGAAAGAATCAACTTTATTGGCCAAGTTTGTGCACGCAAGCAAGGAGTTTGACTCTGAGCTCTCTGCATAAGAAATAAAAGAAATAAAATAGAAATATTAGAATAATAAAATAAGAGTAATAGCATTCAATTCAATTCAATTCTTTATTTCGAACATATTGAAAAAAAATAGAGAATGAAGATAAAATAAAAATATAAATAAAATTTAAAATTAAAAAATAAAAACTCTTTCCTCCTGAGGACCACACAGTTAATATATGTGGATTTTTTTCTTTTCTTTGTTTTAATCAGAAGTGGTGTCAGTCCCAGTGAACACCAGGTTTGACGTTCACCTGGTAACAGCGGAGCTCATCTCCATCTACTCACATCCAGCCTTCATGGGGGGAAGATGGACGGTTCCGTGTCAGCTGTTCGCGGACAGATGCGGCTCTGATCCGGTTCTGGAGGATGAATGAAGCAGCTGCGGACCGACGCTCAGCCTCTTACCGACCGGAGCCGTGACTTCACCGACAGCCGGTACCGCTCCCGGTGTGAGCGGCTGCAAGAGGAGCAGAGACCCGAGCAGCGACCCTCCATCCTCCGTAAGCCTCCGCCGCCTTTCACCGCTTCATCCCCGAACAGCGTCGGTTCTGTTTCTGCTGCTTTGGTTCTGGTTTCTGTCAGATTTAGCTCTCGGCCTGTTCGGATGGCAGCGCGCTGGTTTATTAGGATGGAGGATGTTTGTACTGAGAGCTGATGTTGCACATCTGGATGCTGTCACGTTACATCCAGAGAAAGACAGCAAAGTAAAAAGCAGAGGATGTATTGATCCGCAGAGGCCCGATGCTCTGACAGCCTCCATCGATAACACACGGAGTCGTTTAACCCGGATCAGCCCGGTTCAATTAGCCACACCGGGCCGTGATTAAAGCGTGTTCTGGGATCGATCGGGTTGTATTCAGAGGAGCATTGATCAAAGCTAATTGAGTGCGTTTCCAGAGAGATGGATTGATTGACTGATTGGGAGAGAGGTACACTTCAAAATAATAATAAAAATAAAGATGTTTTGTAGTTTTTTGCAAAAACACACGCATGTTATGTGTTTGATGATGGTATCTAATGTAAAATAATATTTAAAAAATAAAATAAAATCACAATAAAACTATTACTTTTATCATTTTATCACAACTTAATTATTTCCTTTTTATGTAACAGATGGAAGTGATGAGACTGATTTCAGGTGTAATGCTCTAAATATATAGATATATGACCTATTATCTACAATTAGTAGAAAGACAAAAAATGAGAAAAAGCAGTGATTGGGCCATTTCTACACAGATTTGTTTGTTGAATGAGAGATAAATGTATATAGATTTTATAATTGCAAAAGTATTTTCACCACTGTTTAATATATATATCGTGTCACACACAAATATAAATATATATATATTTCAAATGTGTGTGCTGTGCTTTATATACTGGTCATGCAAAAAAGAAAACTAAAAAAAAAAAATTAAAAAAATAAAAGTTTGTTTCTAATTATATATATATTAAATAAATAAATAAAGTAAGTAAGTGTACAGTCATACATTGTAAAAGAAAAAAAATGTAATTAATTTTTTAAAAAGCAAATTACCATTTATAAAATAGAGATTTTGGGTATGTAGGTATATTCATTGTTTTTACATGTATAAATATTCTTTATTAATTAAAAAAATACACAAAATGTATTTAAATTATGGAAAATTACTTTATTTTTATTAAATTCTTTTTCCCCCATTATTTTATAGTTTTTTTGTCTATTTGTTTATTTCTGTTGTTGTTTTATTTTGTTTTAGTGTCCCGGCTACCAGATAGATAGATAGATAGATAGATAGATAGATAGATAGATAGATAGATAGATAGATAGATAGATAGATTCTACTGAGCTGCAGTCTGTCTAATAAAGGTCAATAAAAAGACACAAATCCTTCTCTGTTATGTCTCCCTTGATGATCGACCAGCTCCTGTAGAACACAAACCCGTTGACCTCCGTGACCTCAGACGATGCTGCTGCCTTGTGGAGGAACATAAACTCAGCTCACGCAGATCAAACCTCTTTCTCTGGAGGACACAGTAGACTAACCTTATGAGGGCCTCCAGCTTCTCCCACATCTGTGGGCTGTGATGTGAGTATCAGAGAACACAGATTTAACATGAGTGTGTCTGGGTCTCACTTCTCAGAACGGAGGCCTTTGTGACCCAAGCATAAGTAACGTTCCTGCAGTTTTTCACTTCTCATGACGTTTTGGTTTTCGTTGCCTGTTCTGAAGAAGAGTTGGGACGTGAAGGCTCCCCGAGGCTGAGCTATGGGCTGTGGGGGGAGCAGGACCGACGCTCTGGAGCCTCGCTACCTGGAGAGCTGGACCAAGGAGACGGAGTCCACGTGGCTGACCAGCACGGACACCGACATCCCCCTGTCGTCCATCCAGAGCATCCCGTCCGACAACTCCGAGGCCGGCTACGCTTCTGAGAAAACAATCAGCCCCGGTAAGGCGGACGGATGAACTCTGTTTGAGTGGACGCGTGACTGAACACTAAATGAATCTAATAACAGGAACGGGCTTTAATTTAGCTGCTGAGCAAAGAGGAGAGTTACAGTTGGATGAATTAGGAGTTAATTAGGAGGAGTTAATTAGGTTCCCACTGCGGAGACAAGAGAAGAAGAACAGAAGAGAACATGTCAGTTCATCACAGCTAGTTTACTAATCAGTGCCTGTAGCTGGACATAGAGTTTAACCACCGCTGTTCATTCAGGAAGGAGACTCTCTGGGTGATGGTTTGACGTGGAAATATCACTGAACTCACTGTTTTCACTCAGACAGTCTCACACTTAGGAAGAAGGTGTTTCAGTGAGTTGCAGCTTGTAAACGACGGTGAAGTGCCTGCTGGCTGACATGAAGTCTGACAGAGCTCTGACCTGTGGGCATACGGTCAGCGCTAGCATGCTAGCCACCAAAAATAAAAGCAGCCCACTGGGTCCTCAGTTCTTCACACGCTGGGAGTGCATGAAGACGGTTGCGTTCACTCTCGCAGCCAACAGCAGAGCATTTGGTGTGCTTTTATTACAGAGCTAGCCTCGTGGACTATCAGACGGCTGCTCACCTGGAAGCAACGAGGGGCCAGAATTACACAAAGTCTGAGCTTACTCTGATGTAGAGAATGAACTAAATGCTGAACGGCTTGAAAAACAGCAGCATGAATCTGTACGTTCTCACAGCTGTCACCATCTTTGTCATGGTTTCACGTTGAGCTCTTGCAGCCTTGTGTTGCTCGTTGGTGTGAAACGTGTTGAAGTGACCGCTTTAAACCGACATATCTCACCAGTGAGAGGTCATGCTGCTGTGAGCGGTGCACTGGACTCACGGTGACCTTTACAGGCTTGACATGAAAGTGGGGCGGTGACATCTATACGCATTATTCTATTTGCTTTTCCCTTATCGTAGAAACCCTGTAACATAGCGTCCCTTTTTCTTTCCACACATTTTAACAGGTTTTTAAATGCGAGAATCCATTCTGCACGAGCAAAATTGAAATAAAGTTACCGTGGCGACCCTCGTGCTGTCGCTAAGGGCCGAGCGTGACAAACCTCTGTTCCTCCAGTGTTATTAACTGCCGCATGCAGGTCAGATGGATCTCCTCGGTGCGTCTTCTGTTGTCGTTTTTGTCTTTCGCTCTGAATCGTGGCTGCGTTTTCTTTGAACCCACGGGGAGATGAATCAGCCGTAATGGGCTCAGGCTGCATCAAAAGCTGCTGCTGCTGCGCTCGAACAGGACTTGGCTCTCATGGCAACAGATACAGCTGTTTGTGGATGCAAGGCGGAGGAGCCTTGATGTAATTGTGAACGCAAATTGGGTTACGCTGCACTCTGAGGAGATAAAACAGGTCCCGGATCGGGCGAATTAATCAGCAGCAGGCAAAGATTTTATTAAATAGTTGTTCCACGTTGATGGGACACGCGTGTAGCTCTATACGGTACTGACTGTTGATTATGGATTCACACTTTGTGGACGAGATGCAGAATAATAACCCCACACGTCTGTAAAATGCCAGGACACTCCAAAAACCAAACAATGCTCTGGAGGGTTTTCTGTAATTGATTGTACTTCACCGCTCCACACAGCCATCAAATGAGTTCGCTGCCTGTGTGTCACCTGTGATTAATGCCGTTTGATTTACTAATTACTGTCGTCTACGCTGTTGAAGTTATTAATTATAGGATAGTAGCTCTACGGCAGTGTTTTAACATCTTGGCAACACACAGGTTGGAAAGAAAGAAAGAAAGAAAGAAAGAAAGAAAGAAAGAAAGAAAGAAAGAAAGAAAGAAAGAAAGAAAGCATTTCCTTTGAGGTCTACTCCTGTTTAAATCATGTTTTACTTGCTTTATATACGATTTGTTTGCATATTTTGTTTATTTTGACGTCCCTCCAGCCCTCTGAATGTTCAGATGGCCTGATTTGGTTCTGGGTTTTTGTGTAGCTGTTGGCAGCTTCTTCATGTCTGAACAGTTTTAAAAAGCATCTGAGCTCAGGTGCTCAAGAAGCTGGAGTCTGTGACTGGCAGAGGCCCCTTCATCAAGTGTTTATGACAACATGCACATAACAGCATGCACGATATTGATTGTATTTGTTGGTTTGCTTAACAGGGACAGTGCACACTAAGTACAACCAAAGAGCGATTTATCATCCGTGATCCCTGGACACGTTAGAGTCACTTTAAGCTCTGAATATAAGATGAAACTACAATGTTATTGGATCATTTATAAATAAAAATCCATTCAGACCACCTTTATGTTGCTCTGCCACATTTAAAACAGGCCAAACAATATCATTTCAGAACAGAATTTGGACTAAATAAGACCAGGATGTGTTGCGTTTCTCAGATGTTCACTGAAAAACCAACACAAAGCAGAAGCACAAACATAAAAAGCATCAACCCGTCTGACACAGTTCTGACTGAACCACAGAAACATGAGGGCAGACCGTCCACAGCAGTAAACGACCTAATAACGCTGAGGCTGCATGTTCTGTCCATTCATTTAAAAGGCAGTCGTGTGCTTTTTATCCAGAGTAGGAAAAAGGATTCTGTTTGTTTGGACAAGTCGAGTGTCTAAGTGGCTCCACAGGACGAAGCTGAGTCTCTGCTCTGCTGCAGTTCCAGATTTCTTTGAAGACGGCCTCCCTCCTCCCGCTCAGGCCTACCTGAAGGTCTGCTCGGCTGTATCCGAAGCCAGCCTGAACGACGTGAAGCCCAGCAGCCCGCCTGCCATCCTGGCCTCTCCGCAGCAGGAGGTGGTGCTCCCTTCATCCGGCACCACGGTGCAGCGCCGGAGCGTCCTGCACACCGAGGAGATCGTAAGCTGAGCCTAAAAAGCTTCGGCCACCGTTTATGTTCTTTTCAGTTCCTTTGAGTAAACAATGATGTTCAACTTCTTATGAGATTATGTTCAACCAACAAACTAAATGGAGTCATAAGAATTCGCCTGTCCTCTAAAATCAAAGGAATGTTTAATGAGCGGTTTGAAGCGTTTGAAATATTCCAGACGTGTGAAGATAAAGGAGAGGACTCCAAATCCAGGA